AAATGAATGGGAGAATTCTATAAAAGGAACTGTTTTGCCGAAAATATCTCTCTCTCATCTTGATCTTCTTTGAATTAACATCTAAATTTTTTTTTGTTCCAGACACCGGCACGAGGTACGGCTTGGAATTTATTTATTAGTTGTATTTTTTTAAACATTTCTTACTATCTAATGTGATTATTTTATTTAATTATTTAATTAGCTTGTAACTTTAAAATGCTTTTTATATTTTATCGTTTTATCTCACCGTTCATTTTTTTATCATAATTTCTTTATCTTCTTATCTTAGTAGCACGTGTATAGTAGTTTTTGGTTGGTTGGTTATAATTTTTCTAATACCTTTAACTTTTATTAGTACTAATTATTTTTTAACTTTCTTTTTTATGTACTGAGACGCAAGCTGTCAAGCAGAAATCCACAGAGGTGTTCGATTAGTAGTTTCAGGGGCCAAGAATAGAACCAGCCGCTGCAGGTGTACTCCCAGAGATGAACCAGGAGGGACTCTGGTAACTAAGGATTTTTTATAATATTTTTATTATACGACTTATGTCACCTTTAACGAATCCTTGCTTGCCAGAAGGCAACTCTTGTTTTATCTGGACCCTGTAGTGGTGGTGTCTATTGGCACGCCATTCGACAGATAGATTTTTGTTATTGGGTCACTCTAGGGAACGTATCTTTACCTCGTATCAATCGCCAAATTTATCTTATCTTATCTTTATCTTATTTGGCGGATGCATTATCTTTGTTCCTGGAGTGACATATATTTTCTTTTAGTTTTTATCTGTCGAATTGCCACATTTAGCGTTTTTTCGTATCTTATCTCTATCTTTCTATTTACCTTTATTTTTCTATCTAGTTTTTTATTTATCTATAATATCGCTTTTTAGTATTAACTTTTGTTGTAATTTAAATTTTCATATATTTCTAGTTTTTTTTATCTCATATATTTTTTACTCTTTTTACACGTGTCTACAAATTAAATCAAATAACTTACTGTAACAAACAAGTTTTTTTCAAGTCGTACCGAAGTGATTGTGGTGGTCTGAAGTTTCATTTTTTTTAGACAGAGAGCACATGTATATATTATATATATTTTTCTATCTTTATTTTCTTTCTTCTTTCTTTTTTTTTTAATAATTGGGATAACTGTTTCTTAGTTTTAAATTTTAATTATAATTTTTATTATAATTAGTAATAATACTAATTAATAATGTTGTTTAATTTTAAGTTATTTTTATTGTACCTTCATTGGCAACCAACAGACAGTCCAATTGGTAATTTAGAACACCACCACAAAACTGGATACTTATCAATTGTGTTGAGTAAAATACTGCTGTTTGTTATCTTCTAGGAAGATACGAGAATTGACCCTCCCCATAAGTAGCTGAGACTGGTGGAGTCTCACAAGCTCTCCAACGTCAGCCGGATAATCACGCTACCCACCAGCGGATGAGTGCAGGGAAGAGGGTGAGGCTTTTCTCCCAACCAACCGAAGCAGAAACACATAAGTATTGCAGTTATCGTTACTGAAAAGACTGTCACAGCCAATTCTAGTAGGATTGTTAAAATTGTTAATTTAATATAAGTCATTAATGAAATTTTTCTAGTGTTTTATTTAATTCCAAAGCATACTTCCACAAACCAGTAACTTTTAGAATTTTGTGGGTTATATAATACACAGCTCGGGATCTCTACTACCAGAAATCAACAGAAAAATTAAGTTAACATGGAGTACTTATGGAAGAAACTCAATTATATTCAAATCTTGAATGTCATTCTATCTAAAGAAGAAAACATTCGGCCAATGTTTACTACCAGTCATGACCTATGCATGCGAAACCTGGACATGATAAGAAAGCTCCAGGTCGCACAACGTTCAATGGAACGAAATATGCTGGAAATAATCAAGAGAGACCGTAAAAGAATAGAGTGGATACGACAAAAGACCCAGGTAATAGATGTCATCCACAGAGTCAAATCCCTCAAATGGCAATGGGTAAGACACAAATGGCAAGAAGAACGGACAACAGATAGATCACAAAAATTACAGCATGGTACCTACGAGGAATTAAGAGACATAGAAAAAGACCGAACCTGAGATGGGACCATGATATTAGGAAGTTGGCAGGACCCGCATAGCCAACAATAGACAACAATGGGTCGAACTACAAAGAGAGTATCTGAGGGAGAAGGCTACACCATAATTGCAAATGGTTGAATAAGCTGAAAATTATGATGATGATGATGACATTGTTGCAAAGGCGTTAGGTTAGGTTAGGTTACTGGGCTTTGGGATTGTGTTTGATCTCTCACTCGGCCTTGGGCCAATTGCGATACCCCTGTATTATTGTACCAAACCTTCCTCTCATTCTTTCTTTGCATTAAAGCACTTTCAGCTCTTTGCAAAGTCTCCAATGTCGCTGATGTTGGCTTCTGCTGCTTCTTCTAGTCTCTCCAAAAAACTTTGCCCTAAAGTTTTAAAGCGTCGGTATTCCAGTGCCGGGCAGTGGCAGGTACTCTATGGTTTCGTCGTTTCCTCTACGCATTCTCGGCAGTAGTCATTGTTGGAAATCCTCCATCTCACGAGGTTTACACTGGTGGGGTAGTTTCCAGTGGTGATGACACCTACAATTATGCGTACTAGGTTCTTTTTGTGCTCTAGTAGTTGAAATTGCTATCTACTACTGTTTGACCAGCGGATCTGAAGCTACGGAAGGAATGCGAGAAAAAAAAATCGATATTGCCACGTTTATCTATAAAATTGCAAAATTGCCAGACATGAACTATAAATTTAATATATTTTTATTATATATAATGTGTTTAGCATATATTCTGACGTATATTATTAAGGAATTTTAACGTAGTTCATATTGTTCAATATGTTTTTATTTAATAACTTATTTCTTTCATTCTGTATAATCTGCTTATTATGAAAGTTGAAGATTTTTCAACGATATCATTGGCAAACCGGCATCGCCGCGCATGGCCGCCTATTCCTCGAACATGATTGGCCAAGTACGTCACAGGATTTGTTACCACGCGGTTGCCATGGCTTTTACGCCTTTCCTATTCGCTTGCTTTATCCCCAACTTCACGGTCTCTTCTGAAAAGAGTAGGAATATTGAATACTATTGAAATATCCAGTGGCGGTGTCATTTTTTTGATCATTATTACTTTATTTCATTATTTTATACCGGTTATCCTAAACTTTATTCCTATATTTTTAGTATATTTGATAGTTAAGTTGTGTTTTATTGTTTTGTTATCTTGTTATAATGTTTTTCGTTCGTAGTTTTTAATTATTAATATCAAGTTTGATCGTATATTTGTGTTTTAAAACGAATAAATTTGTTAAGGGTAAGACGCTACATAGTCAGACAAGAGAAATAATAGCTAATTTATATAGGTAAGTTAATAATAACGTGGATGAAATCTCATTTGGTGTATTTCCTTGTGTTCATAATAGGGTTTGCGATGAAGAAGCTACAGAGAGTTCGCTTGAGTTGCCGCTTAAACGTAAACTTGAGCGGATATTTCTTTATACCGGAGTTAGCGTATCGGCTATAAAAAAATTCACACAGAAGATAAAAAAAAGGCTGAAAACTAACCCCGATAAAATGATATCCTCTCTGGAAAGAAACGACCACGTGAGACTGCTGTCGAAAAGCTCAACGACTTTTTCGAAGTGGTCAGGAATTTGATAAATAGATTTTATCTCGAATTCAAACTCGTCCCCACAATTAGAAAGCTTTTGCAAAAATTGCAGGAAGAATCGAATTTTCCTTTTGCAGGGAAACGCTTAGGGGGTTATTAAAATCAAATGAATTTTTTTGGCGTAAATGTTAAAATAACAGATAAATATTAATGGAGCGGCCCATTATATTGCAGAGAGAGATATAAATATATATACGCGAAATTCGAAAATATAGCCAAGTATTATCTATTTGGATGTAACATATGGGTAGACAATGACCTAACCTTTAAAAACTGCTGGCGGAGCGATACCATATCTGGTGTAATAGGCAATATCAGATCTACTGATGAGTAAAATTATGTTTTGTTTGCGCTTCCAAAGTTAACTATTTTCAAGATTTTTTTTTGCTGGAAATAGTTATATCTAAAATTATGTATTATAGAAAAAAATATAGTTAGTACAGATATATAAATAAATATACCTCAAGACTCAGTCTTGATCATCTGCTGATGGCAGACATGGTTAGCGAAACGTGCGTCCAGTGTAAAATTAAAAGTTTTTGGTGTATTGTACTGATTTAGTGTTTTATTTTGCTGTGTAACACCAAAGGTTCCAACCCCCAGCTGTAATTATTTCTTCTATTATATTAACAACACAATAATAAAATGATTCAAAATATTTAAGGGAGCTTTAATAAAAGCTTTTAGTGTTTATCTGCTAACTCAACAGTAACGATTCAAAAAGCATAAAGTTTTTTGAAAAAAATTATTAATCTGAGTATTATATTTATGATACACATTATTTTCATATAACACCGTACGCCCATGCCTATTTTATGAATGAAATTGGGCGTGTTTTGTTTACAACTGCATTCCCCTGCCGATACCCCGTAGCTACAGATCCGTTGGTCACACTATACTGACCACAGTCTTCGAGCTGTAACGCACTCCTCACGGTGTTGCCACGTGCCACGTCTGTGGCTGCTTGATTTTGATGGTAATTCCTATAGCTTCCTTCAAGTGGTGGGTCATCTGCCACGGCCTCTTCCCTGGCCTCCTCTTTTGCGAGTCTGTCTGCTTCTCGATTGCCCACCACATTGCTGTGGCCTGGCACCCAGCACAGAGTAGCCCCGCCTTGACGCGGCAATCCATCACAGTTTTTGATCTCACCGATTGCATGGTGATGCTTCTTAAAGCGCCCAAGCTGTCAGAGTATCACAATATCCCCTATTGGTCTATCAGCAATTTTCTCTCGCATACAACTGGCCGCTTCCTTTATGGCGTAAACCTCTGCTTGTAGAACATTACAACCATTCGATAGCCTTAGAGATCTTCGGGTGCCTAGTTCCTTTGCGAGGATGCCTATATCTGTGTCTCCTGAAGTTACGGAAGCATTTGTGTAGACTGCTATCTCTTGAGTGTCCATTACTCGATTGCCTTCCCATTCTTCTCTTCTCGGGAAGCGAATCCTTATCTTTTCTCCAAAATCTTGTTTGGTGAGCATGTGGCCCGTTTTCTGGTCTAGCAGATTTGGACTCGTGTTGGCTATAATTTTCCCTATCACTGGCAATATCCTCGAGTGACTGTAGTTGGTCTGGTTCTACTGATCGGATTCCCTTAATATAACGGTGCAAAGGCGTTAGTAAAATACATTGTTATAAAAATATGTTATCTTCGAAAAGAATGCCTTATACGGTTTGTTAGCCTTTATATTTATAGAATAACGTCAATATCCACGTGTTTACTGCAAAAATCTGTTTTTGAATCCGAACCTATTCAACGAAAATTCTCTATAAAATCATCCTATGATAATATCTGGTATTTTGACCGTAATAATCCGCTGATAACTGGTCGACGATGTCTCGACCAGTTATCCGTTGCGCTTGATACGTTTCGATTTATGATGACGGCGTCTTATTAAAAACCATTGTAGCGCGAGCGAGATAAAGTGTTTCCAATTTGCGACGGTCGAATGTAGAAATTCGGCGGCAAATGATGCGAGTAATTGGCCGAAGGGCCGCCGAGAGCGAGTATAAAAGGCGGCGATCTGGCCGCTTGTATCGCCAACCACGTCGACATCAATTACTTGTAAATGACACGTTTATTTAAAGAACATTTAATAGATAACTTTACGTAATGATTGTATCAAATAGTATACTAGCATGAGTTTTGTATCCTATCTGATGTACAGGTAATAATAATCAACGCCACATATTTTTAGGAAATTAGTTAACTACACATATGTAAAAAATGTCTATACCTCTGTGGCGGATTCATCTCACCAAAAAATCCTATATGGGTATTTCGCCACTGCAAGAAAATCTACAAAACAAAATAGTTATTTTTTGGTAAACACTGCTGCGTTAATCTAACGGCAACTATTTGTCAGCAGTTAGGTTTACAGATAAATAAATTTGCCTAACGAACAAAAAATTCTTAAAGGTGCGTACTCACTAGAGCATTTTGATCCGAACAAACCAAGCGAGCCGAGCACGCACGAACGAACTCAATAAGGAAAAGATCGCGATGTTCAGAGTGCTTGTTGCGTTCGCTGTGTTCCCACGTTCAGTTGTAATAATTGTAATAATATTAATATTGTAATATTGTTGTAATAGTTGTAATAGTTGTACTTAATTTTTATTCGCACTTTGAATCTCTAGGTCACAGTTCTGCATCGAGTGTGTTAATGGACGCGGAAGATGCTATTATCGCTGCTGGTGCTTTTTTCGAAAAGAAGAAAACATCAAGAAAATTATGGGCAAGAAGTTTGTTTGTGCTACTGAGAGATATGGATAGTATTCATCTGAAAAATTTCTTTCTAATTTTTCCATAAAAACAAGCTTTATTGTTATATTCGTTATAATTTTTGTAAATGTACCTTTTCCCGTTCCTATAGATTGTTTTCCTTTCGCCTTCTCCCTTCTGAAACTTGCCAGAAAACTTTCAATTTTTTTCTTTGCTTCTCCAGAAGCAGATCCTATGATCTCATCTATTTGCCTCCACGCATCAAACCTCTTAACTTTATTATAGTATAATCCATCCTTTGGATTCTAAAGCACTGGATATTGTTCATAAATGTCTATTAACTGAAGGCACTTTTCTCTATTCCACTCCATTTCGTTTGAGCAAAGAAAAATCAAAACAATGAAAATTTTTATCCGCGAATGCTCCGAATAGGACGAACACCATGAACGCAACTAAAAAAAAACCTCAGTACCCACTGAACAACGCATTCCCTTTGAGCAAAATGCATGTACCGACCAGCCGGCGAAAATGTTTGGCGCGCTCGGTTCGGTGAAATTTTGCTCGCGAACACGTATTCACTTGCCGAATTCGGCTCTGCGCGTTCGGCTCGTTTGATGCGTTCGGAGCAAAATGCTCTAGTGAGTACGCACCTTAACGTTTCGGAAAGTTTATCTCTTTCCGTCGTCGGAAGCAAAAAAAATGCAAAGAATAAAGAAAAAAACTATTTAAAGGTTCCAGTGCAATTCAGTCCTTTGGAGAATCCAAAAGATGAATTATACTATAATAAAGGTAAGAAGTTTGATGCGTGGAGGCAGATAGATGAGATCATGGGATGTGCTTCTGGAGAAGCAAAGAAAAAAATTGAAAGTCTTCTGGCAAGTTTCACAAGGGAGAAGGCGAAAGGAAAAAATCTATTGAAACGGGAAAAGGTACATTTACACAAATTATAACGAATATAACAATAAAGCTTGTTTTTTTAATGGAAAGATTTGGCAAATGTCACATGATTTCTAACCTAGCTGTAAAGAAGCAATCACGTGAAAAATTCCAAATTTTCATTTAAAAAAACAGGCCTTATATCTTGTTTTTTATTTACATGAAAAATTTGGGCATGTGTCAAATTTTTAAATATTTCCAGCTACTGAACCATTGCATTTTCGGGTACACAAATGATGCTAATTTGTTCTAACTCAGGTAAGTATATAAAATTAATACTATCCTATGAATACTATCCATATCTCTCAGTAGCCTTCCATTTTGACGGCGTAAAAACAAACTTCTTGTCCATAATTTTCTTGATGTTTTCTTCTTTTCCCTATTGGTAATGTTTTGTATAGTGAAAAAAGCACCAACAGCGATAATAGCATCTTCCGGGTCCATTAACACACTCGATGCAGAACGGTGACCTAGAGATTCAAAGCGCGAATAAAAATTAAATACAACTGAACGTGGGAACACAGCGAACGCAACAACCGCTCTGAACATCGCGACCTTTTCCTTATTGAGTTCGTTCGTGCGCGCTCGGCTCGCTTGGTTCGTTCGGACCAAAATGTTCTAGTGAGTAGGCACCTTAACATATTTAAATGCAACTATTCGAGAACATTTTAGTTTTTTTTTAAACAGATACGTCTACAAAAACCATTGACGTTCTGTTAAAATGACATTATATCATTTTACACTTCAAAATTAACAATTACTACCTGATAACTATGACTTAATAAGGTAACACCAAAAAGCATCAAACTTTCTGTATGCTTATTTTTAATTTGTTTTTAATTTTTACGTATGTTGTGTTTATTTATGTTATGTTCCTCAAAATCAAAGAAGCGATTGCCATACATTACTAACATATTATAACGTTTTCGTGAAACATTTTCGTGAAACAAACAATTTCATTATTAAAATATAACTTTCTTAATTTTAAATATACATTTAATATAAATTTATATATATATATATATATATATATATATATATATATATATATATATATATATATATATATATATATATATATATAAATTTATATTAAATGTATATTTAAAATTAAGAAAGTTATATTTTAATAATGAAATTCAAAAATATCTAATAATTACATAATTAATTATGCAATTAATCCACAGTAAGTAAATAGATTTAAAATAAGTTAATAAAAATATAATATATGAAATCTGGCCTGATTATCCGGTGCAATTCTAGGCTTTAGCTCGTCCTTCTGAATGGTGTGTGGACGTTAAGTGTGGGAGCTCATCCCCAATCTACTACAGCCTCGAACAGCCCCTTACAATACCACCAGCCATGTGGAAATCAAACATGGATCATAGACACAGGCTCTCGTACCTCAAACCACCAATCACGACATATAACTCGTCATGTAACTGGACGGTAAAACCCTGGAAACGACACAACTTATGCACAAAATGCATTTCAGCAATTTTAGAACTTACCTCACGATGGTGCGGGTTTACTCAAAAATTAAATTCATGGCTGGACAACCAAAACCACGTTTAGAAAATCTGTAAAGAGATAAGGTTGAACCAAAAGAATAAAAATGTGATGAAGATCAAACTTACCACAAAAATACCTATGAAAACTAAAAATTGATTCCTTCCCCAAATGCCAGGAACCATTAGGACTACATTCTAAAGTTTAATAGAATAAAAAGGTTGAAACTTTCTCGGATGACTTCAGATAAGTATGGTTGATGTAATCTGAATCAAATATGGTGACTTCCGATAGTCAAAAATATCTTTAGTTCTGCGCCGACAAGAGCCAATACGATCAACAGAGTATCCGAAATTAGTCAGAACTAATTCGGTAGGCTGTATGTTGGGTTGCCAATAGTATCGTTTTATTAAAACGTTACAATATACAGAGACATGAACAATACATTTATTTTTATTACACTGTATTAAAAAAGCCCCTTTTATTTTTCTTTTAGAGGCTTATGTGTTTCTCGCTTTTTGCAAACCACAACGGCCAACTAAAAACTACATATCAATTATCCTAAAAAAACAAAAGCTAAAAGCAGAAAATGCATGCTTCATTTAGAAATATGTAATAATTAATTTTATTCGAATATGCGATAATTGTGAGTAGTGATTTAATTAGTCAAAAATCTTTATTTTAGTCTTTAGAAACTCACCGCTATTTTTCTCCTAGAATCCGAAAATCGATTAATATATAGGATGTTTCATTACAAAAAACACAACTTTGATGCGTAACTTTTTTTGGGGACACCATAGATACTAGACCTCTGATAACCGATGATCTATGAGATACTACTAACATAGATAAATGAAATAAATGTTTCTTATTATTTATCTATTATTACAACTTTATGTCATTAATTTTTAACAACCTATCATCATATTTCGGTGAAATTTTACAATGACACAGTCAAGATTCTTGAATCGTATATCTTTAAAATTTTAAAATATTCTTCTTCTTGAGTTCGACACTCTTGTATATTTTGCATTTCCGAAATTAAGGAATTTTTACGAATAAAACACGAAGCAGCTGTCACGACATTCAAAATTTATGACGCTAGAGGGCGAACGTAGAGCGCCGTGTTTTATTATGGGCGCCGGACGACTTATGGTTCACCTGGCAAAATAAAACAGAAAGACCATATCCGGAATACATCTTGCAATTGAAAAGTGGAGGGCTTATAAAAGTTGGAAAAGGGCGTTTCCAATAAATTTCGTGTATTTGGTTAGAGGAGTTAGGCGCTGGTGAAAATAAATTGTGGTTTTTACGTGTTGTGTATGGTATATGAATACGGGAAATATGTATAACACCTGGAGTATACAGGGTGTTTCAAAAAACATGTGCAATCTCTTATGGGGAGATTCCTCACGTAAAAATAAGATTTATTTTTCATAGCAACATAAGTACGATTCTGGTTTGTTTCGTAGCTACAGGGTGTTAAAGTCTTAATATTTTTTCGATTTATTATAATTTTCTTCCAAGTACTTTTAGTGATTCGCATGAAATTTTGAGGGTAAAAGTTACTATAAGTGGTACATATTTTAATGCTAAAATAGTGTAAATTAATTCATCGGGGACGTGTATATGGGTTATCGCTGGAATATTAAAAAAAAAGAACATGTGCGCCCCTAACTTTTTTTCTTTTGGTATTAGAATTGTGTAGTCCCTTTAATACCAATTAAATGTTATCTCTTGATATTTTGTCGAATTCGGCCTCCTTGATGAGATAAACGCAATTTTATTAATCACAATTAATATAATTAAAATTAAAATAAAATTAATAAATTATAGGGTGGGTGGGGGTAAAGAAAAATACCAGTAGTTTTGAAAGCTTGAGCTGCGTTTTCAACCGAGCTTGCTTTTTCAAAAGCTATCTTGAATGATTCAGCAACGTTGTAAACGCTGAAGGTTTCTCCTGGATGAGAAACGTCCCATGAATCTACGGCAGCATCGTAATAAGCCTTCAGTGGTCGAAATATACAGCGGTCAAGAGGTTGGGTTTTGCGGCTGCTGTGAGGTGGCAAAGTAAGGAGGTGAATATTGTTTGATTTTGCGAAAGAAACTGCTTCCAGGCTTGTGTGGGACACATGATTGTCAAGTATTAGTAAAATGGGGTTGCTGTCACTTGGTTTGGCATACTTTTTGAAATGGTTCAGCCATTTGATGAAAGTGGGAGTGTTCATGTACCCTTTATCGGTTACAGCCATCTCGCATCCTAATGGACCACCCTTAATAAGAAGCCGATTTTCTCTTTTTCTTGCGTATATAAAAAAGGGGGCACAAAATAGCCTATAGGACTCACTGCTCACACGGCGGATACTGTTTGGCCTTGCTCCGCTGCTACAGCCTTAGCGACTTCTTTCTTTCCCGTGGGGGCTACGTGTTTTGGAAGTATATTTGGGACCGTTTGTACCCCCGTTTCATCCATATTGAAAATTTGGTTGGGAGAAAAATTGTACTTCTTCATAATGGCCTCTAAGTTGTCAAAATATTGAGTGAGTTGTATCCTGTTAAACCCCATTGTTCGGGCAACACTCGTCTTCCGGGGAACACGCAAATATAACTTGTTTCTTTTCATAAAGGCACGTGTAAAATCCCTCCCTGCAAGTTGCGCTTCAACCGAGAACTGATGGAGAATGTTATTCTCCTCGGCATATTTAAATAGAAGGAATCGCAAAGATTTTAAAGTAAAGCCGAAAAATCGCTTATCCAGGTCGATACAGTGGTTTAACAGCTGAGTTTCCTGTTCTGCTGAAAATGTGGCTCAAAATCTCCCAAGTTTAGTTCCTCCTAAATAAAAGTCGATCCCTTAGTGTAGATTCATGAAACCCGATTTCTTTGGCCGCCTGACGGATAGAAACACCTCTCGCAATCAGTGTACGTGCCGCAGCGAGTTGATCTTCGGCCATAGGCATGTACTGAGTTTTTCTTTTGTAGTTCCTGAAAAGTAAATACCCGTGAATATAATTTAAAAGCTGCATAATTCATGTTTTAACAAACAGGGGCAAAACCCGCACTGCAGGGATTTGCCCCTAAAAGGCTGCGGCGTTTTGCCCTATTTTGTATTCTCGAAAAAATCTTTCATATAACATTTTTAAAATCACGTTCAAGAAAACATTACCACGCGAAAATAAAGCTTAGGTGACATGCTATCAACCGAGAAGTCGCTTTTTCCAGATATTCTAAATACATGCACACTATATTTGAACAAAGTGACGTAGTTATTATATTAAAATTACAAAAGATGAACTAACCTCATTTTCTTGGTACATAATCTGCCGGCTACCATCAAATTCTCTGTCGCACTGAACGTTATTAAAACCAACTCGCCTGACGGGCGAACCCGAAATCATTCCCGCGCTATTTCAAAACGCGGTGCGTGGCTTTGCCCCGTGCAGGGCTTTACCCCCACCTACCCTATATATTTTACCTCATTCATTATTAAATATTATTACTATTAGTTATTACTATTTAATTTAAAAAGTTTTAACATCCTGTAACTCAAAAACTATGCATTTGCGTACCCATGTTTATGGGGACTATTTTTTATATTTTTTGATGCGGAATCAATGAGTACTTATTTAAAACTTTCGCAAGTTAATGATATTATTATTTTTAATAATGCAAATTAATAAAATTGCGTTTATCTCATCAAGGAGGCCGAAATCGACAAAATATCAAGAGACAACTTTTAATCGATCGGCATTAAACTGCTTAGACTATTTCGCTAACAAGAGAAAAAAAGGTCAGTGGCGAACATGCTTTTTTAGAAAAATATTCCAGTGATTACGTATATGCACGTCCCTGGTGAATATGTCGACACTTTATTAGCTTTAAAATATGTGGCATTTATAGTAACCTTTACTCTCGAAATTTCATTCGAAATGCTAAAAGTACTTGGAAGAAAATTATAATAAATCGCAAAATTATTAAGATTTTAACACCCTGTAGCTACGAAACAAAGCAAAATCGGACCTATGTTGATATAAAAAATAAATCTTATTTTTACGTGAGGAATCTCTCCACGAGAGATGGCACATGTTTTTGGAAACACCCTGTATAATTTTAAGTGCTGTAGTATTCTATTTTAAAAACTTTTGAAATCATTTTTTAATAAACGCATTTAAAAACATTTTCATTAAATTTCAAGGTTCAACAATATTTTCATTTTTTTAAATTTCTCATACAGAAATAGCATTGTGAACATTATTTGGTTCATCTTAATTAATCTCAATCTGACAACACAGGCGTATTCGACTGCGCCCTTCATTTGAATTTCTTCTAGTAGCCGAGAGCCTAAACAGTCCGAGGTTCAACAAATTAGAGACAATCTGAAATTTGGCATGGGGCTTCATTTTGTAGATCTTTAAACATCCTGAAACCCCAGCGATGAATCGTTGAGCCCGTCACCCCAAAACCACCCCAACAAGGGATAAAAATGGCCGTTTTTTTGCCTTTTCTTCAATAACTCTAAAACTACGATTTTTGGGAAAAAAAGTCACGAGTAAGAAATTGAAGAGAAGAAAATTTCCTATCACATATGCAAAGAAACAAAATTTTTAGAATTTCAGTGGCGCAGGTGCGAATTCTTTAATTTAGGAGGATTGTTTTAATAACCCACCATTCTGTGTTTAACTTCAAATGAAAGCATTTTTGAGATAAATCGCGAGACCAAAAAATTTATTATAATACAAGTTCCTATAAAAACGATATTTTTAATAAAGGTAAGTTACCAGTGGCGGAGATAATTTTTTTAAATGTGTGTTTTTTACATTTTAAAAACATTGAATAAGAAAAATTGCAGTTTTACCAATAATTTACAATGAAATAGGTATATTGAAAAATTTACACCAAAATAAGAAAAACTTTAGCTCAAAAATATGATAACTTATCTTAAGTCTTCATTCACTTCCACATTTGTTGGGTTCATACATGTAATGTCATTGCATTGACCACATGCCATAGTGCAGGTGAGTCCCATTCGCTTGCATATACCTGCTTTTACAGCCTCCCGAAGAGCAATTGCAAATTTTTTTCTCCAAAACCCATGTAGGAGCAATGGGCTGGTTTAATGTATTGGATTTATCTCTCGATTTTTCATATTCCAAGCCCAATCTTGCGGTGGTATGGTAAATTGTTATTTAACCAAGCCTGTACCTGTAAGTTAAAAATGAGAATTTAGTTTAACATTTGAATGCAACATAAATTTAACTTACCTGATGAAAAACTCTAAGTCCATGACATTTCGTATTATTGGAGGTAGGTGGTAATGATGCCAAGTTGAAGTTGGTATTAAGACTTCGTTTAGCTTCGTACTGTTGATAAAGCATGTATCTGGCACTATCTAAATCTACTTTTTTTGTCGAGTTTTTAACATATGCTGCTATAAAAAACTGAGATATAACTTCTTCTAACTTCTCCTTTGTAGCCTCGGGATTATAAAATTCTTTCAATAGCTCACACAACTTTTTCTTCTGGATGGTGTTCACTAAATTAATCTTCCCTTTATTGAACACAGCAGACGTTGTGTCACAACCAGATATAGCGTGAGCACTAAGAATCACATTCTTCAGATCCTCCAATTTTTGTTGGAAGGCCGATATGTCGATTATTTTATTTGGTTTTGACACCTTTCCCTGGCGAATCATAAACAGTCTCTTGTGGCAATAATGAATCAGTAACACTATAATATCCGTATCTTCGCCAACTACTGCTACGGTCCCTTCTGGTAAATTGTCACTTATTGCGACCGCTGTAATTACAATAAGAGTATCGGCATCACCATCAGCGAATTTAACATTGATTCCATTTTCCAACAATACTTTTCCGAGCGCACGAATGAAGTTGCTTTTATTGGTGTTGTTTGACAAAAAATCTGCCTTTCGTACCTTCACTGCAGATAAATTCGAGAAAGATACTATTGGTAACATTTTTTTACCTGCAGATCTGCGATTCTGCTCCATAATTTTGGTCTGTATCTCTTCATAGCCATCAAAAACAACAGTGACATTTTTACCATAGTGATATGTTATATAATTATAGTATTGAGAAAACAGATCTGAAAATATCGCAGGGTACAGGCTTGGTTCAATAACAATTTACCACCGCAAGATTGGGGTTGGAATCTGAAAAATCGAGAGATGAATCCAATACATTCAGACCAGCCTATTGCTCTTACATGGATTTTAGAGAAAAAAATTTGCAATTGCTCTTCGAGAGGCTGTAAAAAAGCAGGCACATGCAAGCGAATGGGACTCACCTGCACTATGGTATGTGGTCAATGCAATGACATTACATGTACGAACCCAACAAATGTGGAAGTGAATGAAGACTATCCTAAAGATAAGTTATCCTATTTTTGAGCTAATATTCAATGGTTTTAAAATGTAAAAAACACACATTTAAAAAATATATTTCCGCCACTGGTAACTTCCCTTTATTAAAAAGATCGTTTTTATAGGAACTTGTATTCTAATAAATGTTTTGGTCTCGAGATTTATCTCAAAAATGCTTTCAATTGAAGCAATCCTCCTAAATTAAAGAATTCGCACCTGCGCCACTGAAATTCTAAAAATTTTGGTTCTTTACCTATGTGGTGGGAAATTTTCTTCTCTTCAATTTTTTACTCGTGACTTTTTTTCCTAAAATTAGTAGTTTTAGTAAGTTATTGAAGAAAAAGTAAAAAAAGGGCGAGTTTTAACCCTTGTAAGGGTGGTTTTGGGGTGACGGGCTCGACGGTTCATCGCTGGGGTTTTAGGATGTTTAAAGATCTACAAAATGAAGCTCCATGCAAAATTGCAGCTTGTCTCTAATTTGTTGAGGGTCACCCATGTAAAATGATGTATCGGCCCTGAGCTATAGGGCACTTTGTTTTTTGTCGCTAAGAGTTGTAGTTTACTGTTTGGTTGTTCACTCCACAATCTGTGTTTATATGGGTAAGTTAGGTTAGGTTTGGTTGCTGGGGTTTGGGATCATGTTTGATGCCTCACTCGGAGGCCTTGGGTCCATTGCGATACCTCTGTATTGTAGTACCCAACCTTCCTCTCCATAGCCCCTACCATAGATAAAAAGTGGTTTGCCATCACTAATCATAAACTAAATGTGGATATACTTATACCCACACTTACGCTTTTCTTACAAATGATACGATCAGCTACATTGGATATTGGCTTTTCGCTTAATATGTGCGTTTGCCAAATTGTCAAAATTTTAAAGAGATTTTGTGAAATATTATGCAATACTTTTTAAATTCCCTCGAAATTCCCCGAAATTTCTTGAGATTGTACAGGGTGGGTCAAATTCGACGCTTTTAAAGGTTTGGTTTGGTCACACCCTTTTCTATAGGAGATAGACGAAAACTAATATCGGTGTCTGGAGCTCAATTTTCATCAAAAGCATGATGGTGAAAACCGCACATCAATATCTGTTACCATTTCGGAGTTACAGGGTGTTTTTCAAAAATGTGCATTTTTAACAAATCACTGTAACTTTTTTGCTATTGAAAATTTTGTATTTCTATGA